CTCCTCCTATCTCCATAGTTGTTCAATTTTCCCCGTGATCATCTGAATTTTCTCTTTGTTGGACCCCTCATTTCTGTTATTAGTAATCTCGATTAGCTGCTGTTTAAGAGTCTCAATTTGGCGATAAGCATTTGAAAATTTCTTTTTACTCCAACTTGCCAATTCACCCGAGACATTTTTAAGCTTACTTACAAGGCTCTCCCGGCACAAAGGTGGGTCATCCCATATTGCTGATACCATTTCTTTACATTCCTCATCCTCCAACCAGTAAGCTTCAAACTTGAATTTTTTTCTACTTTTAACTGGATCGGAGTAAAGTGAAAGAAGAATAGGGCTGTGATATGATCCAATAGCTGGCAATGCAAAGGCTTCTGCTTCAGGAAACATGACTCTTCAGTCTATATTGCAAAGGACTCTATCAAGTCTCTTTTTAACTAATGCATCCCCATCCCTGTTGTTTGCCCAAGTAAAGGTGCATCCTTTGCCTTCAACATCCATTAGAGAACAATCATTTAGGAATTATTGAAATGCAACTAACCTGTAATGGTCCGCCGGTCTTTTTCCATTCTTCTTCCAATAGTAAAGTATCTCATTGAAGTCCCCCATACACACCCAAGAAAGAAGATTTCTGGAATGGATACTCTTTAAATGATCCAAAAGTAAGATTCTATCTTGAAAGTTTGTAGGTGCACGTAGAAATGTCGTTCTCATGCTCCTTCCACTTCCTGTTTCCTTGCAAATCATATCGATATACTCCCCAAAACTAGATACCAACTCCAAAGACACTTCCTCATTCCACATAACCACTAATCCCCCTTTAATTCCATTTGGATTCACTACTACAGAACTTTGGAATTTGAGATTTCTCCTCAGCCACTCTACAACTATTTCTTTATTTTTTTGTCTCCATGAGAAACACCATGACGGGCCTTTCGTGAGCCACTAAGGCTCGCAAAGCCTAGATTGACAGGGGTGTGCCCAACCCCTGACAATTCCAGCACAAAAGTTTCATATGTCACCCGGTGGCTTATTAGGGCTAGCCACCAAAGCCCATTCAAACAACCCTCCTGCAACCTGAATAGGAGCATCATGTAACTGAGTATCATCAAAGGAGTGAGAGTTGGCTCCCTAACCATCATACGGATTAAACCTTTTCAGTTTCTTTGCCATTGGGGTTTTTGGCCCTTTTCTGCCTTTCTTTGCAAACTTACTGTCATCCTTCGTGATTATGTTTGGTCTTGGATAATCCAATAGCATAAATTGAGTACCATGATTATCTACTAGTACAATTTCTAAGCATGGTACTGGGTCATCTTGCTTCCTTTTAAGTGTCAAGTCGGCTTGTTGAAAGCCACATTGTTGGGGTGCCAGAACTTCCGCATTATCCTGCTGCATTATCTCTTCATTCTGAACAGAGTGTTCCGGTGTTTCCGAGATGGTCTCATTCTTCTCAAATATAGGGACTTCTTTACCATAGAACACTTTCCAAGAGGGGCTATATTTTCGAGCTTCCACTTTCAACCAATGGCCAAAACGTCCCCCAATATTTTCCTCTAATCCCGATTCCTTGTATGGTATATCTTTGCAGTAAGTTGCATAGTGGACAATCCTTCCACACGAATAGCAATAATGCGGGAGTCTTTCATATTTGAAGTCTATCCACCATTTTTTTTCCTGAAAAATTCATCACCCTACCTGGCTTTAACGGGGCTGGCAAATCCATATGCACTCTAGCTCTTCCTACTTTACAAGAATTAGCACCTCTTGCATCCAGCTTAACCTCCAGCACTCTCCCCAGGTTAGAGGTTGCATTACATATTGTTTTTTCATTCAATCTCTCTGGGGAAGCTCGTGAATATGTACCCAGAATGCACAATGTGAGAATTCGTAGCAATGAACTGGTATGCTATACTTACATTCTTTCAAAATCAGCAAGTTGCTAGAAAAGGACCAAGGCCCAGTACTTAGTACTTTTCTTTTTTCCTCCTCCGAGCTGAAAACAAAGAAAAACAATCATTGTTCTAAGGGTTCGCAAATGACACTTTCAGTCTTCCAGGCCTCTTTCATAGTGGATTGAAAGGCTTGGAAGTTAACATTTGGCATCGAATAGAGCTTCCCAATTAGCATCAATTTACATTCCTTCAATTTTTCCTCAAGGACTTCATCACCAATATCTGCTTCATAATCCTCAGACCACAAGTCACCCAGTTGTCTACATAATGCAGCCAATCTGAGTTCATGATTAAACTCACCTTCCATTGATGTGGTGAAAATGTAGGAATACAAAGTGCAGCAATAAGGATTTACCAACCCAGCTCTCAATAAGCACTAAAATCAATTTATGCTACCTTCATAAATGTGGGTTGTTTACTAACAGGGATCAGGGTTTCTCTACGCAAAAATGCAGGAAAAGAAACGACGTAGACAGTATGGATTTGGTGTTGGGATTGAAGGGGGCTCAATGACAGGGATGGCTATGTTGAGATTTAGGAAAGGGTTGGAATATTTGTGAATAACAAGTTAAAGGCGCAAGAAACTTCGAGAAGAGACCTACCAATCTCGAACGGGAGTCTATAAAGTTGCTAGTTGTCGAGGTTGGTCAAGACCATCTCCAATTGAAATGAAAGGAAGTAGAGATCATCACCTTCCAAGCTCAGAATGCAGGCAGTCAGGATTCTAGGATCGCGACACATTTTGTCTATGTCTTTTCCATCACAAGTCTCGCTGATTTCTGGTGGTTCGAGTGAGTGAATCCACACCTGAAATTGGGAACCGCCTAGAATTGACCGGTTCAACCCAATTCTTTTGCCCACCCCTACTTTTGATTGGTGAATTGAGGAAAATGCAACCAGATTCTCTTAATGAACAGTACTTAAAAGTTACTACTTGTCACTCATAAAATTGTCCGCGTGGCATTCTTAAACTGCACTTTCGACTTAATCGAGTACCTTTCTTTTACCGACGTAACCTCGCTAGTTACAAAGAGTGAATTAGTAATCAATTCAAACCTTTTTTTTATTATAAACTTAACTGTATAATTAAGTAGTTGTTTAGGATTTAATTGGATAAATTGAAAGATTCGGAACTCAATTGTACATTTCGGTAAAGATTTAAGACTTGATTAAATCAATTGAAAGATGTAATATGCGATTATATTTCGTACATAAGATTTAGGATTTTTAATGTAGTTTGCCTGGATATATTACACACGACCAACTATAAACGAGAAGGCCCCAAAAAAATGAAACTAGAAAGTAGTCACGAATTAGGTGATTTTAATTAAAAGTACATATGTGATTTAGGAGTAGGGAAAGGGCGATTTATGAGCAGGATTTTCAAATTGTACTAGTCACCGTATAACACATCTATCTAATTGAAGAAATTCTCATCAAACCTTAATTGAGGAAAAGGTGAATCTTTCTTTATATATAACATATACATATGAATCTTGTGTTTTGGGGCCTATGCATGCATATGTCCCGAAAAATCTAGGCAAGATGACACTAACTGTCCCTAAACTTTGACTTAATGTGCAATTTGATCCCTAAACTTTTAATTTGTTCAATGTAATACTTGAACTTTAGGCTAATGTTCAATGTGGTCCATGAACTTTTATTTTGTTTAAAGTCATCCAAGAACTTTTGGTACATTTTCAATTCAGTCCATAAACTATATGAAAAGGTTCAATGTAGTCCTTTCGATTAATTCAAGTATAGGGACTACATTAAACATTTTCATATAGTTCAGGGACTGAATTGACCATGTACCAAAAGTTCAGGGATGACTTTGAACAAAATAAAAGTTCATGGACCACATTGAACATTAGCCTAAAGTTCAAGGACTATATTGAACAAATTAAAAGTTTAGGGATCAAATTGCATATTAAGTCAAAGTTCAGGGACTGTTAGGGTGCGTTTGGCAACTTGTTAAATAGTAACTGATTCTGTTCTTTTTTTCTCAGAATCAATTTGGGAACAAAAATCTGTTTGTTAAATTTTTTGTGCCAAGAATCAGTTTTGGAACAGAATCAAGAAGCAAAAAAAAGTAGCTTCTTGATTCTTGAACAATTTTTCTGAAACTGATTCTTCTTGGTTTTTTTCTTTTTTTTGGTTTGTTGTTGTTCTTCAGCCCCGCCACCCGCCGGCCACCAGCCAGGGCCGGCTAGGGAGTCGTGGCCCTCGCCGGTGGATGGCGAGGGTGTCGCGGCCCTCGCCGGTGGCCAGCGAGGGCGGCTCGCGGCCACCACAGCGAGGTCGAGCCTCGACCAGCCAAGGCGAGGCCAGCGGCGAGGGCCGCAATGCCCTTGCCGACCCTGGCCTATGGCCAATCGCCGGCACCGGCGGCCGGCCATGGCCAAGGAAGGGAGGGGAAAGAAAGAAAAAAAATAAAAAAAAGAAAGAAATATTTAAAAATTCAAAATATTATTAAAATATTATTAATAAAAAGAAATTTTGTGTAGTAACCAAACGCATTTATGTTCTTTTTTTATTCTAAGAACAGAAATTTTGGGCAGTTACCAAACGTCTTCAAATGCTTAGAAATTGTTTCCCGGCACATAATCAAAAAGAATCATTTCTGCCCAAAATCTATTTCTGGACACAGAATGATTGCCATGCGCAACCTTAGTGTCATTATCCCAAAAATCTACTTTGTTGTTTTAAACGTTTAGAATTCATGGATCACATAGATATGCTAAATTATTTAATTCGAAAAAAATTCATAGAATCTCATCCTTAATTGAATCATTTATCCGTTCATTCCTCCCTCCAATCCAGTTCTCAATGTCATGCCATCTCGTTCTTCTTCCTCGGATCAACAGTTGTTTACAGAGACGCGGACTAGATTGGAGGACGATGTCAACGGATACATCAAGCATGCTCTGCACCTAATCTGGCAACCAAAAATCGCAACGGGTGTCACCGACCCCGGCTGTAAAAGCTCCCGGATTGGAGACCCACCAGTTCAAAAGATCATTACAAGTCTAAGGAACAATAGCTAAATTGTGGAAAGAGATTCAAGCGATTGCATATCGAGGGCAATCAAAAGTAACCAGTCCGTGGACAACAGCGATTCATGTATGGGGTCCTCGGTTTTCAGCTCGTGCTTGAAGAACATTATATCCATTCCGGAAACTAAAGTATTTGAATCACACTGACAGAAGGAAATTACAGTAACTTCCTCTAAATGGAGAAAAGGTCCCTTCTTTCTGGTTTGTTTCTCTGTCTGAGACTTATATGATCCATACAAGATCCATTCAATGGCGTGTGCCTATTCATTCCAAGCTGGGGGCCACCTCAGTCGGATTGGACTCGAACACATCTGAGTTAGCGTCGGGTTCTTCCAGGAACTCCCGCGATTGGACCGACTCCTTGTAGGCTGGTGTATCCTTAAAGTCTGTAGCTCCTTCATTGTATGTTGTGACGGCAATGCCACACGCAATCAACTATCAAGAGAAAATTAAAGAGGCACGAATTAGACTCTCGAGCAGCCAAAGTTCTCTCTCTCTCTTCCCGCAGGAGTGAGCACCTCAAACATGGACCGGGTGGGTTGACAACACAACACATCCACCAGTGTGAAACCAAGGAGTCCAACGCATTCGAAAACTACTCTATGAAAGGACAGTACAACGTAGAAAGGTGCAAGCAAAATGTCTGATAAGGTGAGTCAGTAATATGCAAACTAAAGTGTTCCATTTTTTCAGGATTCTGCAGCTTTCTCCTTCTAATTTTATTGCGCTGCTTATTTAGCAAAGGAAAAAATGATGCCAGCTAATTGAATTTGACCTTCAGGGTTTATCAATTCAGATTTAACTGCGAAATACAGGCGCGGCATGCGATTGATGCTACCTCTCTTCTTCAGTAACTCATGACTACCCTGCTACCACATATAGACAAACTTCTGCACATTTGTGAATGTCATATATCCAAAGTCTGGTTCAGAAGGCATTGGTAATTAGCCAACACTCATTGAAACTCCAAGAAAACTATTTGATTGTCATGTCAAATCAATCAACTAATTCAAACTTGGAAAATTTATGAAAAATTCGAGGTAACTTTCAATGCTGCTACTAATATGTCTTTAAAACTTTGAGGTGCTCAACCTTAAACACCAACTTAGTTCGGATGCCATGGTATACATGCACTGAAACCACGGTTGTAACAGGCTATGCTGAGGGGAATTGGGGTAGCGTCTTAAATTGTTCTAGTGCAAAAACTTAAACTAGAGTTAATTGCTTCTCATGTCTTACATCACACTATGCCGTCACTTGAATCCGCCAGCAAAAGAGTTCGTTTTGAGTTCCGGTGTTCAGGAGGTCAAGGTTCTAATATAGACACAAAGACTTTCAGGCCTCTGGAGAAATGTCTGCCAAAAGAGAACAGAACTCCTAAGCCACCAATTTCAGAACAAGTCTTCGACTACTTGAAATCTACCCATCAACAAATGCTTCTAAGGGGAAAAGAGAGACTCTCCAGGGATAAAAGGCCCTCCAGAAAGAGCTTTTACACCGAGTTATAGGGTTGTTGTACACTAGCCAATCAACTTCCGAGGTCATTAACTACTAAAATAGACAGTTTTTTTTTTACTAAAATAGACAGTTTAAGAGTACATTCTCGAACAATCACACAGGGCCAGAGAGTCAATTAAGCCACTGAACTATAAGAAGATTCCATTGCAAAAGTTCAAATGAATTATCAGGACTAAGTTAATGGGTGAAATATCTAGAGCCTTTTCAATCAACCGTGAGCAACATGAAGTGCTCGGAAAAAGAGAAGGCATCCATGAAAAACCATGACTCCTCAGAACTGAATCTTCCCCCAAAAACTTCATCCATTCAACCGCATTCATATGATTATATTATGATCTTGAAATTTCGGTCCTATCAACGTCAAGAATAAGCATAAGTACCCGAAAATTCCCAGGACTTGACCGAGTGCAGTTCAATCATAAAACTCTATGATCGAAATAATAAAGTCCTAAAGCTTTTTCAACAAATTTCCTATCAAGCTAAAACTTTGACGACAATTCTATGGGTGGCAGCGCGATTCAAACGATGGGATTATTGAAAGAACTCGATACTGCAAACACTTGAAAACTACAGCGCCTGATCGCTCCATGGAAAAGTCAGGACCGAGTTTCACTTTTACACCAGTTTTTGGGGCTCTCTGCGCATGATAAAAGATTACGACTTCACAAAATCAGTCCCACAACTACTGGACTAGATTGAGCTTCGGCATAAGAAACCATCAGATACCAACGATATACAAAACACATCAACCTGAACCCGGAACAGAGTCCACACGGCCAAAGAACAAGCATTCGAGTTACTCACCGCGAAACCGATGCCGAAAGCCCACATATACTGCACGAAGAACCCGAGAGCGTCCCACTGAGGGCCCTCCCAGAAATCAGGCTTGTCCCCAGGAAGCTCCGGCAGGAAATACCCGTCGTCGCCGGCGACGCCGGAGCTCCCCATGGCGCTGCTCTCGGGCCCGACCCTCTCGACCTCGGCCGTCCCTTGGCCTTGGCCGTAATCTTCGCCGTCCTCCTGGTCCTCGGTGGTGGTGGTGGCGGTGCTCCTCCGGTTCTTGCTGTCGAATTTGCCGGTTCTCGAGGGAAGCTTCTTGGCCGAGGCTATGTGGACGGTTCTTCTGGGCGTGAGGGGGAAGAGGAGGTGGCGAATTGGGACGGTGGTGGTGGCGGTGGTGGTGGTGTGGAAGATCCTGCCACCCCCATCACCGCCGTGGACTACCGTAGCTAGAGCCATGAGCGAGTGGCTGAGAGTGTGAACTGGGGAACGTGAGCGGGTGGATAAGAAACGGATATCAAGTCGAAAGATATTTCGATCAAAAGAAAAGAAAAAACTCGTAAGGAGAGTAATCCTGGCGTCCTAGGTATCCTCTCCCTTCGGGAAAATTTAAAAAAAAGACCCAAAGTGGGGCCATTTTTTCAAAATGGGGTGCAAAGTGAGCATGGTGCCAAATAAGGGCTTGAAGTGGCTAATCAGTCTCAAATTGGGGCCCGAAGTGCCCAATTGGTCTCAAGTTAGGGCCTGGCTTTGCCGGCCGGTCAAATGCTCACCGGCCGGCGAGGAAGTTACTGTTCCGGCGAGGGCAGTTTTGTCCAGATAAAATCTGAATCAAAGGAAAAGGCAATTTTATAAAAACAAAACTTGCGTTTTTCTTTTTCCAACCCCAACCCACTTCTGATAAAAAGAAAAACCCCAATCCACTCTGATGAACGAAAGGGATGACCTGAAAGACTGAGGCGGTGGGTGACCGGCGGTGCGTGACCGGTCGGCGGCGTGCGATCGGCGGCGGGGGCGGCGACGTGTGACCGGGCGATCGTGTCTTTCCTTCACCCATCTTCTACAGCTACAAGAACTGATCCTCCGTTCGTGCTCGCATTCGAAGGGTTGACAGGTGAAGTTCCCCGCCTCCGCGACATTCTCTGCTATTTTTCCCTTACCAAATTTGCTCTCGGTTCCTCTTTCGGCTCATGAATGTTTAGATTCGGGCAAAATCCGTAAGCGTCGAACATGCGTACGAAGATCCCTGATCTCGTCTCCATCCCGGAGATGCTATTTTGCGGCGTGTTCCTAAGTTCACTGGACATGTCGAAATGGTAAAGTGCGTGCATCTTCATTGTTAATCTCTGGCGTCCAAGAACAACGATTCAGTTTGCAATGCGGACTGGCTTTTGTTTTGGAGCGATCTGCTGAATCGGTGTGTTAGGTCGGAGGTTACAGATGTGTTCTGTCGCTTTACTGATGTTGTGGGAACAGATGAAATTGGAGAATTGAAGCAAATTTACCTGTATCTGAATCAATGTCGTTGTTTTCTCTCTCTGAAGTTGGAAGAAGGCTCTCTGGCACAAACAATCTCTTGAACATGGATTACCTCTTTGGGGTGGCATGAAAATAGGGATTAGAGGATTCACCTCAGCGGAGAACCTCTCCTACGATTCACACAAAGCGTTCGTGTCTTTCGTTGGGTGAATCCGTCGAGGTTAGTTTTCCAAATTGGAGCTCTGATTTGAAACCCTAATTTTTCTAATCTTCAAATTTCTTTCGTTTCTTAGTTCCTAAATTGGTTCAACTTGTCTTTCCTCCGTCCAAAAGAAGGCGATTGCAATATTTGAAGTAACATGTTGAGGCGTGGGCATGTCGTGGAATACTACAGTAACGGCAGCGACGACAGTGAGTTGATTATTTATAGTGCATTTTCTGATTGTAAAGGAATAAGCCGTGGTCCCTTCACGTCCTCCGTGGTCCATACTTTTCAATTTTTTTACTGTTTTCATGAACCCACGATCTCATGTTTTATCGTTTATTGCATGAACCCCATTCTTAAATTGTGGAAGTAGACTACAATTTCTCTATACTAGATTTCACGCAAAGCCCATTCTTAAATTTTGCGAGAAAAGGTGGGTCGCAATTGAAGGAATACTGTTTATCAATCGCTAAAATTTTTTTTGCAAGAGTTTGTTTTGTCCCATCTTAAATTCGTTTCCATGGATGTCAGTTTCCTAAATTGGTCCATTTTTTTTATTAAACCACGATTTAATTTGTCCTGATAATATGCGTGGCTTCTCATAAATTATGTGAAAAGATGTATTGGGTTTGCTTCATGCGGAGTAGACATGCTCTATTTGGAATGCTAGTTGCGAGTATTCCACTCGGAGCAATTTGTAATTGTGGTATAATTTATGGACCAGTCTCAAATAAAATTTTCAATTTATGGACTGGTTTCATTATCGGATTTAAAGTTTTCCATCAAAGTCGTTTCTAAATGTTGCAAATGATAACAATTTTCTTCCTTACACTGCTTTGTATAAGGCTTTTTTTTTGTCCCTATTTATACGTTACGGACGGGTTCTTTTGAATATGTTGTGATTGCAAATTGTGTTTCCTTTGTGTATAGATTTAAGTTGGTGTGATTCTGTTTAATTTATATACGGATTTGGAAACGTATTGATTGTTTTTGCTTCCATTTTGCACCAGGCGAGGGGTGTGAAGAAGCGAACTATACCATGTCTGATAGTAGGTGTGTTGATGGCATTGAAGAAGATGGATTTGACATTATTGATCTTGATGAATTATACAGAAGAAATGTACAATGTTTTGAGGGTGAAGGTTCAATGGGGAGGCGTATGGAGGTTGGAGAGACTAGTTTGCATGTAGATACATTATCTGATAATGTAGATTTCCTGAATATGAGTAGTCAAGTTGAGTATACACATCCTGAGTTCAATGCTGAGGTTGATATGGAGAATCTTGTCTTCAAGTTGGGGATGTACTTTAACAATGCCAAAGAGTTTAGAGAAGCAGTTAGGAATCATGCCATAAAAAATGAGAGACGGGTGAGGTTCACTAAGAATACACCTAAAAAGTTAAGAGTAGTGTGTTCCGACGATTGTGATTGGCTCATATATGCTTCCAAAGTGCAAAGGAAGCATACTTTACAAGTTAAAACCTTTAACCCCGTGCATACATGTAATAGAGCACTACATGTTCCTCAAGTAAGCTCTAAATGGTTGGCAAACAAGTATTGTGATAGGTTGAGAAATAATCCAACATGGCCGGGTGCTTCACTGAAGAAAGCAATGGAGTCAGAGAATGTTTTGAAGCTGTCCAAGACAATGGTCTACAGGGCTAGGGCTATAGCAATGAGTATGATTACAGGGAATGAAGATGAGCAATTTCGGATGCTTAGAAGTTATTGCCAAGCACTTCTTGATTCCAACCCAGGATCCACCTGTGTAATCAAGAGTGAGCAATGTCAGGACCAATTCAAGTTTAGAGGAGTCTACATATGTCTGGATGCATTGAGGAGGGGTTTTCTAGAAGGATGTAGGCGCTTTGTAGGGTTTGATGGTTGCCACTTGTCATCTGGCTACAAGGGCATACTTCTAGCGGCTATTGGCATAGATGGAAATGATCAGATGTATCCATTTGCATGGGCAGTCGTTGGACAAGAAACATACAAGACATAGCACTGGTTTATTAGTATGATTGCCGAAGATTTGGGAATTACAGATCCTACAAATTCAAAGTACTGGACCTTTATGTGTGACAAGCAAAAGGGATTGGTGCAAGCACTAGCAAATCTAATGCCTGAAGCAGAAAATAGATTTTGCTTGAGGCATCTTTACGAGAACTTCAGGCTGCATCACAAAGGACTAAAACTTAAAATTTTGGTTTGGAAGGCTGCCATGGCCACAAGGGTATGTGATTTTGACTTGGCAATGGAAGAGCTTAAGGCACTTGATGGAAAAGCTTATGATTGGTTGTCCCAGAGGCCACCGGTGCAATGGAGCAAGTCCCACTTCAGGACAAGCTCAAAATGCGACGCTTCCTTGAATAACTGGTGTGAAAGTTTCAACAAGAGCATCATTGACGCCAGGGACAAGCCTATAATCACATTGCTTGAAGCTATAAGAGTGCAACTCATGGAGAGGATTCATAAGCAAAGGGATGGATTGGCTAAGTACTCTGGTGTGATTTGTCCTAAGATCCAAGAGATATTGGATCTTCAAAAAGAGTATTCAGCATCATGGATTCCTGCATGGAATGGGGAGGATGAGTTTGAATTGAGTGGACCATATGGAGACAAGAAGGTTGTTAACATTAGACACAGAACTTGTAGCTGTAGAAGATGGGACATTAGTGGAATCCCTTGTTGTCATGTTGTGGCAGCTCTTGTATACCTGAGGGAACAACCTGAAAAATGGGTTCACACATGTTTCAGTATGGAAAAATTCAGGCAAACTTATAGCCATGTTGTGCATGCTGTAGATTCCAAGGACACATGGCCTGCTAGAGAGCATTTACTCCCACCAGATGTGCCCAAGCAAGTTGGTAGAAAGAAAAAACAAAGAACAAAGTCAGTGAATGAAGTTGCTGATAGCAATTTAAAGACAAGGAAAAAGAAAGTTGTGCGAGAGCCTGCGGGAATAAAGTTGAAGAGACAAAACACCACAATCACTTGTGGAAAATGTGGTGGGTTAGGCCATAACAGGTATCATTGCAAGAATCAAGCAGTAGCATCAATGACGACAGTAGCAGCAACATCATCAGCCCTAACAACTTCTACATCCGCCTCATGCTCACAAGATGTGGTAGAAAGCACTCCCTCAGCCCCAACATCACAAAGTGAGACAGTTGAACTGCTTGCGTCATTTTTTAACAACATATCAAGCTCAACATCATCTATCGGAAGATAGAAGATGTCAGTATTCATCTATGCTTGACTTTGTCATAAAAGTGTTCTTACTTGTGCTAGACTTTGTTTTGACTAATTTTTTAATTTTTATTCAACTGTAGGTAAAAAGGAGGACGTGAAGACGAGCAATTTTTTGAGATATGCAAGACCAACAAGACCAACAACACAAATTCTTTTTTCGTTTACTAGTAGTTGACATGGATGGGTCTGAATGAGTCCATTTTGGAAGCATCTCAATGTATAGGTCTACTGTGTTTAGAAAATTGGGATGTTTCTCTTTTTTGGCATGACAATGGATATGAAGGTTCAAAGCGAATAGTTGAAGCTGTGAAAGGTAAAGGTGCATTTACAATTGGGGTTGCTGGTTTTTGTAGGGGAGGTGAGTAGCTTTGTTATGAATGATTCTTTGTTATGCATTTGAATTATATTGCCAATACTATCTTAAAGTAGTTGCAATACTGTCTGTATTGCAGGAACTTTTCAATGCCAATACTATCTTAAAGTAGTTGCAGGAACTTATCTGTGCATATGGCTTGCATAACGGAGAAAAAGTATATCCTGATGGCTTGGAAAGTTGGAACAGCACTTTGTATGACTATACATATATGATTATCTAGTGAAATAAACATTTACACAGCCCACAAGACACTAAAGATGTGATGCTTATTTACAGGTTTTTTGCAGGATCATTCTTGCAGGCGGTAACTTTAGTGCAAGTGATTTGCTACATGAAGGTCAGTTTTCCTGTTGCGTAACGATATTTTTTCCGAGTAACTTACTTCAATGCCATTTGAAATTTTACAGCACCAAGATCGTGTTTCTCACTTTTGTCTTTCTGGAGCAAGGGAACGGACTTGAAGGTTTACCACTGAGTCCACTGAGATGAAAGGAAGATTACTCATGAAGTTGAACCTTTAAAGTCTCCTTTTTTCTTTTGGTCTCTTTCTTCATGAGTCATTGGCCAACTGTTTTATTTTAAGGTATAATCAGTCGTTCCAGTTTGGAAATTTCCACATTACTTGTAAGCAACTGGGTCTTGCCTCCTTATTAAAGCAGTTGGTTACTTCTACCTCATAATTTAGTAATGTGTCGTATTGGCATGATCCTGCAAGGAGTGGTTATAATCTCTTACATGAAGGCACATTTTTGTGTGGAATGAAGGCACATTTTTCGGATATCCACCGCAACTTGCTCGCTCCTCCATGATTCTTTTGCTTGTTATGAATGTGAAAAACAGAACTTTCGTGTCCCTTTACTTTGATCCTCTTTCGGGAGTGTTCCTTAGTGGATAGCAAGTTCCAACGTTGAATTTAGGATTAGTGCAAGACGCTGACTTTTCTTTGCCAACTCATTGCTCCGCTAACATGACAGACCTTAGTGTACAATTTTTTGAATCTAGTGATATAAATCTTCTGAATTTGCGATTGCAAGTAAATGGACTACAAGACAAGCAAAACTGAATTTGCACCCACATCAAAAAATCAAAAGTTCTAAAACCAGCACATCAGGATGCATCAGTGACAACATCTGGCGGGAATTCCCCATCGATCTTATTGTCTCGCTTTGACATCATTGTACAGAATAATCCAAGGACATCTGCGGCCGAAATTGTTGAATCCAATCAACAATTACAAGGAACAAATGGCCAACACCCAAAAGGCAGTAACAATGCAAATAGACAAACTGATGTTTAATTACTTCATCACTCCACCGGATGGCGCCATTCTAGCTCACTATATCGACCCCCATAGCTCCAGAAACTGCAGGTTCTGAAAACTGCGCGGAAGCAGACTTGGGGTCCGCTGCTGCAAACGGACTCCTCATATGAGCAGCAGCCAAGTCAACTTCCATCACCGAAGCCCTTGGAGGAGACGCCGGTTGCACCTCAACATCAGGGTAAGCCGGCTTAAATCTTGCTTGCAGCCCTTCTTCTACTAATCGTGCGCCGCTCAACTTATTACCAAGTGACAACCACCTGAAAATGACACGAACCATCAAAAGAGACCTCAAGGCAACGATAATACCATGATGAGATTCTTTTGCTAAAAATTAATCAATATACATGGCAAGAGGGCCTTCACCCTGGAAGTGACAATCCTAAGGTTCTGGGCAAAACACATGCATTACCCACTTATTAATCATTATGAAATTGTTTGTTCATCAGATATATACAGTGATCCAAAATACCTAGACTCTTCTACCGTCCATTGTCCATAAGAGGAATATGCAAGTTTCACTTTTCTTCGGCAGCTTATTCTTATTTTAAAAAATAAAGGACAGTAAATTGAATAACAATACCCTGCATGAGTGTTGTGCATGCGAGCAAACAACTCTAATTTTCTTGTCCTCGGACTAATCCTCTCCAGCATTGGATACATCTGCAAAAACAGTGCTTTCGTTAGCATAAATTACAATGGACAATCTACGTTCTATAATATTTGAAAAACTCGAGAGATGTAGCTTCTGCGGTGCACAAGTTAGGTTGCACCAGCATCTTCAGGTATATACAAAGACATTCACTAAAAGTGCTCTCAACAAACCCAGAAGACAGTAAAAAAACATATTTCACGCAGTTTGGATTAGTTACAAGAATTAGTGTGTTATTCACTAACCTCGCCTGGCTTACGGCTAGTCTCTCAAACCTCAGCGACAATGATGTCAGTATCAATGTTCCTGTTCACTTGGGGATTCCCCTTAATTCCAACAAGGCAATGCTCTTTACTGTGATTGAGCCAATGGCCCGTGCGGCCGGTTCTGATGATCCGCTGAAGCTGATTGGTCTTCACCCAGATTATTTCCTCAACACACTTGTACCCCCAAAGTTCCAAACCGAAACATGCAGACAAATTAATTATGCAAGAGCTTGATAAATGATAAACAGCATGATTTCATTTGTAAAAAGCATTATGAGCTGTAACATCAGGTCCCTTAGGAGAGGACAAAGCATCACTTACTCATAATGTTTTAGAGGAATTCAACAAATCTGAACAACTGGACAGCCACTACCACATCTAGTGACTTCCACACAAGCACTCATGCAACCTCCGTGGAGTTTATTACTTGTATCTAACGTTTCTTTCCCCATGGAAAGACTTTATCAGGCAAATAACAAAGGCACATGCACTAAAAATGTTTTGTCCATTTAAATAGACGAGACCATACCATTCTCGTCCTAGCTCCATGGCACGTCCAGTGACCCACAGAAAAATCAGGCCATCAATCTGCAATGCAGGGACATTGAGATTTTGCATCTCATCATCTGGCATTGTCCCATAAGGCAATTCCATATGGATGTCCCATGGAGGATCTGCCATTATAACTCCGAATTGCCCTATCACATCAATTCTAAAGTTCCCGATATCACAATTGATCCATTGTGCTTCACCAAGTTCTACTTCCAAACAGTATTCTGCACGCTGTGGCTTTAATGGCTTGAGAGGCGCTGCTGCTGTCCCCATCATCATTGGTGGCGCATCTGGTGTTGGGTCAAGCTCGTAATGAACATACTTGCATGTCTGTGGAAAAGAAAAATCAATCAGATTTAGTTAAAGCTGCAACAAGGATGCCCAAGGATCAAAGATAGGGATGAAAAAGACCTTCATGTGCCAGCAAGTATCAAGGAAAGAACAGTCCCCTAAGTTGACGTCAATATGTGGAGCAATTATTCGCCGAAAATGAACTTGAAAGAAGACATTTTCTTAAGGTGAATACAGAATCTGAACATATGAAACATCGGTCAAGTAGTCACACAAGTACCATAGGGCGAAGTAATAACAAAAGCTTGTGGAGGGCCAATGTCTCAATTTAAATGTCTTTATAACAGGAAAACAACACATTTTAAATCACTTGGTATTGCTAAATATAATTTACAGATGTATCGGTCCATGAATAACATTCAACCTTTGTTCATCCAAGCAAGCCATTTGAAGCCATAGCTCTTAAAGTTTGTTTTCTTTCTTCACATTTACCTTATGGGCACCACAAGTATATTATTACAGCATCAATTTAGATGGTGCATAATACAAACTTAAGTAAAAAAGGACAAAGATCCAAATACCCTAGAAAAGACCACTGACATTACAAAGGCATAGGTCTGATATTCATTCAATCTGTCCCAGTTTGATTGTGGAAGGCAAAGAGGGTGTCTCCGAATTAAGAAATCTGACTGGGGGATGAAAAGGTTGAGGAGGGTATGTTTTAAGGAGAAAAGCAACACTAATACTAATAGTCTTTAAATACGTGCAAAATCATAAAAGAGCAGATGAAGCAAATAACACTCTAAGCTGGTTGATAATGCTGAAAAATTTCACTAAAGCAGCCGTTGATAGGAAGCCCAACAGGTAAAGGCTTGCAACTTGGAGCTGCATGCATTGTTGCAACAGTTGCACATATGACAACTGCACTTGCACCACTATAGCAGCTACTAGGGGTTTGGTACCTTCTAGTAATTACTTAGAAGCTGTTTGCTTGTTTAAGACTTCCATTGTGGAATTACTACTGCCAAAAAGGTAAGTAAAAATATCAAAGTGTGAATGTATACACAAACACATAAGAAACACTTAGAAGCCAAATGACACCATCAACTCCTTAAAAACCGACTGAATTACAAAAGTCCACTTGCTGACCTACCCACGAGAGAATGAATCCAACAACCGAGTATTTGCAATACAATTACTTAACAAACAACCACCACACACAATCTGTTGAGTACCTTTTCACACGATATAAAGGACCCAGATTGGCATCTGCAATCTTCTTTAGCGATTGATAAACAGTATTCCTTTATATCACTGTCGTCGCTGCCGTTACTGTAGTATTCCACGACATGCCCACGCCTCAACATGTTACTTCAAATATTGCAATCGCCTTCTTTTGGACGGAGGAAAGACAAGTTGAACCAATTTAGGAACTAAGAAACGAAAGAAATTTGAAGATTAGAAAAATTAGGGTTTCAAATCAGAGCTCCAATTTGGAAAACTAACCTCGACGGATTCACCCAACGAAAGACACGAACGCTTTGTGTGAATCGTAGGAGAGGTTCTCCGCTGAGGTGAATCCTCTAATCCCTATTTTCATGCCACCCCAAAGAGGTAATCCATGTTCAAGAGATTGCTTGTGCCAGAGAGCCTTCTTCCAACTTCAGAGAGAGAAAACAACGACATTGATTCAGATACAGGTAAATTTGCTTCAATTCTCCAATTTCATCTGTTCCCACAACATCAGTAAAGCGACAGAACACATCTGTAACCTCCGACCTAACACACCGATTCAGCAGATCGCTCCAAAACAAAAGCCAGTCCGCATTGCAAACTGAATCGTTGTTCTTGGACGCCAGAGATTAACAATGAAGATGCACGCACTTTACCATTTCGACATGTCCAGTGAACTTAGGAACACGCCGCAAAATAGCATCTCCGGGATGGAGACGAGATCAGGGATCTTCGTACGCATGTTCGACGCTTACGGATTTTGCCCGAATCTAAACATTCATGAGCCGAAAGAGGAACCGAGAGCAAATTTGGTAAGGGAAAAATCGCAGAGAATGTCGCGGAGGCGGGGAACTTCACCTGTCAACCCTTCGAATGCGAGCACGAACGGAGGATCAGTTCTTGTAGCTGTAGAAGATGGGTGAAGGAAAGACACGATCGCCCGGTCACACGTCGCCGCCCCCGCCGCCGATCGCACGCCGCCGACCGGTCACGCACCGCCGGTCACCCACCGCCTCAGTCTTTCAGGTCATCCCTTTCGTTCATCAGAGTGGATTGGGGTTTTTCTTTTTATCAGAAGTGGGTTGGGGTTGGAAAAAGAAAAACGCAAGTTTTGTTTTTATAAAATTGCCTTTTCCTTTGATTCAGATTTTATCTGGACAAAACTGCCCTCGCCGGAACAGTAACTTCCTCGCCGGCCGGTGAGCATTTGACCGGCCGGCGAAGCCAGGCCCTAACTTGAGACCAATTGGGCACTTCGGGCCCCAATTTGAGACTGATTAGCCACTTCAGGCCCTTATTTGGCACCATGCTCACTTTGGACCCCATTTTGAAAAAATGACCCCACTTTGGGTCCTTTTTTGAAATTTTCCCTCTCCCTTCTGACCAAAAAAAGTATCCTCTCCCGTTGGTTTTAAAAAAATATTACATATTTGAACAAACAAATTTTGTTTGTATTTTAAGCTTCGTTTATTTCATGAAATATAAATAATTTTAAAAATATTTTTTTAAAAATAATCGCTTGTATCGTTTATAAAAATAAATGAACGAAAAATATTTTTAATGTCTTAAAAAATATTTAAAAATAAATTATTATCGATAATAAAAATAATTTTTATTTTCAGGCGATTATTTTTTAAATATATTTCTAAAATTATTTATTTTCCGTAAAACAAACAAGAGTTTTAGAGGTAGATATTTGCCATAATGGGTTGAATAGTTACGGCGCAAACCCAATTGTGCGACCCATGAATCTAAGAATATTATATAAACGTTCAAGGCTTGTAAAATAATCCTTTTAACCTATTAAAATGAACAAACCAATCATGAAACATAAAATTATTGTCTAGAACATATTTTTTGTCAAACGAAAGGTGTTTCATATTACAATTTATCATTAGTAAATGAACAAGTGACCTGGTCCACCATGAAAACATTAAATATCTTTACATTTCATACATTAAAGAGTATCACATCATTTTATTTTTTACTCGGGTGCGCAACGCAGTATCCAAATGTAGGGATACTCATGATTGTAATTCATCGATTAGAAGGGTGGCTCGAGGGAGTTTCCTTCAACGAAAACAACGACTAGATTTATTAAGTTTATAGAATTGCTTAAAGTATGCATACCACTATCGTAAGGAATATTAAGTAATTGTGTATTGTGATTAAGAAAAGAGCTAGAGTTGAAAGTACGCCAACAAGGCAACAACCTTGTCTTCTTGCCAGAAAGGGAAAAAAAGCTTTTGAAAATTAATTTAAATAAGTAAAAAGAACACATAATAGATTGAATTTGCATGAGAAAAGAAAATGGCAATTGTTTTCTGAATAAATGGGTGAGGATTGTTATTATTTCAGTGGAATAAATGGGTGCTTGGGTCGTGGATAAAATTTAATTTCTATTTTTTATTATTTTTTGAAGGATAATTTTGGAAGGAATAGAAAGCGAGTTGATCGAATGTTCAGACCGAATATATAGATAAATGAAGGGTAGTTTTGAACTGAACAAGTGAGTCAATTGAGTGTTTTGACTCATAGAAAGATGTTGCTTATGTGATCAGCACATTACTTCAGATAATGGAGATTATGGAATCTTTACTACCGTATACAAACAATTAAAGAACTGATCATAGCATGCAGGACCAGGGCGCACGCATATGCAATTCTTAGCAGTTGATTAAGTTGATTTGTTCCAATTCCGCAAGTAAAATTCACTTTACCTCTCGGCATTACTTATGTAAAAGAGAGGCAACCAGAAGAGGCTGATCCTAAATCACTGGGATTTGCCTCAGTGGTCACCCTTTCTATCTGGGGAGGGGGAGGTGGAGAGTTCGATTATCCACATTCTCAGGGGAGTTAGGGGTGAGAATGTTAAGTTTCAGATATGGATTTCGACTCTCACACTCTGCAAGGAGGTAAGGCAAAAGTCTGAAAATAAGTTGAGAGTTATAATGAAGCGGACAAAAAAAAAAAAAAAAAGGCCAATCTTGATGAAATGGAAACCGCTTGCGTAGTTCAAAGTGACCGCATATGCTATGGTCCATGTGGATCCAGGAAGATCAAGAATTATTGGAGACAATCAAAGCTTATGGCTGAGAATGGAATCACTCCCGGTTGAATCCTTTGAATGTTGATAAAGGAGTTTTAAAGTAGCCTATTTGAGGATTACGCGTGGCAAAGTGACGGGATTGACCCGATAAGATTAGGGTGCGCTGGGAAATTATAAATTCCGACCATATGTAACTTTGATTGTGTACCACTTAATCCTTATCTAATTGACAGCCACAATGGTAACTCTACCAAAGTACCATGCATGCATTTGGATTTGGCCACCGTAAGTTATCATACCATTGTAGAGCACTACACATTGTCGGAGTGCCGAGTGTCATTAACTATGGACATTTGCCCATGTGTATTGCCAATTGTCAATGGTCCATGTGTCAATCATCTCCCGAAAATCCACTAACAAAAATGCTTATTAAAGAACTTATTCGGATAAGGAGCGAAATTTTCTATAATCATACTCAACAGCTCAGACAAAGCTGGGGTGACAGCCCATCATCGAGGTCACGCAACTTCAAGTGAGGGCAGCCGAGGTCGCACGACCCTAGGTGATTCAGATCTAGCCCTTCGACGGTCATCGAAATTCTAGGTGAGCCTGCCTGGCTTGTTCAACTTTGGCACAATGGGTCTTTAGATGCCTAAAGTTCTTAGCAAATGCCAAACCAAACCCACCCAAAGTCCTAGAGAGGATATCAAGTACGCCAGTAGAATTGCCAAAGTAGAAAACGAACAGAAGCAGTATTTTGACGTTTTTCATGATGTCCCCGCATACAAGTTACAGAAGTTTTCGAATTTGACTGTAATGGAGTTTTACACTCATATACAATTGATCGGCAAGCAACCATTTGGAATTGGATGTTGTAACTCACCTTTTCTAACTTGCCTGGCTATAATTCACCGGAAATACCATGGGGGATATTGTCGCACAACACCATCACAAGATCAAGATGCAGATCCTGTCCAATAAACACCCCAACTGGACAATGGGCTTATATAGGTGGGACTTTCGTGTCTGAGCCGAGTTGAAGTACTTAATACTCTGATCCGGGACTTGACCGGATACGACGATACCTGACTTGAACTCAATGCTATTGAAGCTCGAGCTCGACCCTAGTAAACTTTCAATAATCCCGAGGTTTACTTGATAAGACCAAAGACCCAAGCCCGAGTTAAGCTCAATATCCTATGCCTCTATACAATGTGAAACACACATGGCCCGATTCGCCTAAGTGCGACTTTGATCTCGTGCTGATTTTAGCACCAGAATGACTCGAACTCGTAAAGAACCGAGTCGGGCTTCGGTTGTCCGCACATCGAGGGCAGAGATCTCGCGACTAGCTTGCCTCAGTTACACCCTTGCGCAGACCTCTCAAAATCGTAGTTATCACGGACGCGCGGCGTCTCCAACTTGGTCGAGTTTCCTTCCTTTGTCCAAAACCTCGTTAGTGCACTTTTGTAGCACCTTTATGTTCTAGCGACTGGGTTTTTAATTTCTTTCTAATCTCGGATGGAAGGAATATCTTGACCGTCTCTTTTCAGCTGTGACTTTTATTGCACGGCTGAGATCTTGCAAATCATTACCAGGAATCACTATTTTTCATATAGGGAAATGGTGAGCTAACAGTGCCGTACTGCCGTGAACGGTGACTTCTCTGCCTTCAATTCAACCGGTTTCTTGGGAGAATTAGAATTCCAACAATATTAAGCACAGTGTATTTTCCTTGTTTAACCGCTTAACTCATCAATGATTATGAATGTGCTTACTATGTTTTGATATAGACTAACTAGGGTTGTGCAACTAGACCGGTTATACCTGAAAACCGGACCGGATTACCCTGAAAACCAATCCGATTCCAGGTCTCCGTTGGAACCGGTTCGATTCTCGTTTTCAAATTTTTAAATTCGTGGGAATCGGTCTAGTTCCTGGTTTCGAGTGAAGAACTAATCGGAAACTAGACCGAATTTAGAACCTGTTTCATAAAGCTTAGAAACCCTAATTTTTTTCTTGGCATTTCATTCTCTGTTCTCTCCAGCCTCACTTAAACAATTCATGACTCTCTCTCTCTCTCGTGCGTGTGCGTGCCCCTCACCCTCATCCTCGCTCGTTTGAGCCTTGCAACCCTTGCTCATTCTTGACTCATCTTGCCCGCGTTCATATTTTACTTTGAACCATTTTTTTACCCATATTATTTTGCTGTAAAAATGAAACCTAATAAGGGAACAAAAGAAAAAAAAAAGTCCTCGATTCCATGGAAAACGGGTAAGTTTCAGATCCCAAAAACTGGAAACCTATTTTAATAAGATAGATTCCAGTGAAACCTACATACTCTGCAACCGATCACCCCTTAGACTAATAATAGTGTATTTTTCATGCAGAATAAATAAATTTATCTTTGCAGATGCTTTTCATTGGGGTTTTTCAATTGGAGTTTTGAACCCAGAACAATGCATTCCAAACTATGACAATCGCAATTAATTTCTTTTGCCGTAAGTCTTGGATATTATTACTTAGATATTTTTTTTTTAATAGGGGATATAGATCTCATCGTCCCATGACTTTTTTATAATCCTAGTTGCCCATCTATCATAATATAACATCTGTGGTCACAAAGAGCACCGCTACAAATTCAGCATAACAGTGCCGTGGCGTTAGGCTAGCTGGACTCGTGAAAGATTATGTAGTTGTGCGTGTTAATACGTCATAAAACACTAATTGAAAGTCCATGACATGATTTACCCGTGTCTAGGATAATTACCTAACTTTTTCTGATAATTCCTAAATGATATTATTTTTCTTGTTTTAGAGTACTACCCAACATTTAAAAGTAGCTGTTTAAATTTTCTTAAAGCCTTTTATCTGTTGCTCGAATAATATGGATAGATTTGTTTCTTCATATAAAAACCAAAGCTCTCTCGACATTTTTTGTTTCCTACCGTTTTCTCAATTCATGAAAAATGGTACATGTGATCTAAATTGCACCGTTGCTTAACGGTACCATTACGCTAGCAACGCTCTTTATCATTTTCAGAGGAATATTTTTCATTTTGCTAAGGAAAATCCAAACAAAATAAACAAACGCTGATATTGATCGATTTTCATGCAGAAACAATGCGGAAATGCGTAGCTGCGATGCGTTTCTTTCCTGCCCTCTCCTTCACGTTTGAATCTGACCCAGTTTGAGAAATGAGCAACCACACATTCGTGGCCCACACAGGCAAAAGCTTTAATGCAAAAATATCTCCGTCTATACTCTTGTCATTTCACCAACCGATTTTCGTTCACCATCATCAGCTAATTTTTGGCACAAAACATTGTTGGCGATATTAATAAAGAGAAAATTCCAAAAATCACCATCGTTCCTCACATTTCATCCTGCTGCCACTTTACCCTAAAAAAACGTCGCTTCTTAAAATTTCGAATTCTCCAAAACAACTACTAACCTTGACCTCTAGCAGGAGTGCCAAAAAGAATAATCTGAACCGAAACCCGACCCGAAACTTTTGAATCTTTTTCGGGTCGGTTCTCTTTTGATTCGTGTAATGGATAAAACAATCTGTTTTTGTCCCACCAGATCGAAGGAGATGCGTTAAGTTTTAGGATGCAGTGGGTGGCCAAGAGAGAGGGGCTTCGTTGTTGGTGGCAGCAATAGTTGCAAGAACGGCGAGGCGGAGCTCGACAGTAAAAGATAGTGGCCGTAGGTGATGGGGCGGTATCCAGGTCACAAAACACGTAGGGTGGGTGCGGGCATTACGAAAGTTCAAATCGAATCTACCCGTTGACACCGGGGTTGATAAAAGTCAGGCGGTTGTCTTTCGGCTATAATTTCGGGATTTCGAGAGTAGCAGGAAATCTAGGAATCGTACGAACAATTTCGTCTAAAGACAATTAACTTCCTTAAACGATACGAAAAATGCGGCTTAAATGTTTTTAAAAGCAGAGGAAAGGTGGCGAGCTGATAAAGTCTAAGGGGCTGCATCATCGGTATTTTCGACATCGATAATGTCAACTAGAAAACACGGTCGTTAGGCCATGGCAAAACGGTCGCATTCGTGCCAATCCACGTGATGGCGGTTTGCTTTTGAAGTCCAAAACCGGGGAAGGCGCCTGCGAAAAGGCTTAAGATTCCTCGCATTGCTTTGGTCACTGGCTAAAAAAACACAGGACTTCCGCACCTGCCCAGTCACGTGATCTCACGAAGTCTCAAATTTACGCATCCGCCCTTCGCGTTCTCGCTTCTTAATTTCCATTTCCTTTTCATTTCTCAAATTTAAGTCCCGATTCCCGCATTGCATTTCGCGCTGGCCAAGAACTTCTCCGCCGTCTTTCTTATTTTAATACCCCGATTTAAGTGAATTTCTACGGGAAAAATGATATAAAAAGAAAAAAGAAAATTTGTCAACACACGCCGATTAGGTTTCGTTCGTTCATCCACCCTCACGGGAACACTTAATCATGATTTTCCTCTCTTTTTTTTGTGGACATGTACAACCTATCAATATCAACACCGTATGCGTCGTCGTCGGAGACGTTCCGGCGACCCGAAACGCCCCTCTGCCTGAAAAAACGAACGGTCAAATCGCCGGCAGCGACTCCGGCCGCCACAACATCTCCGGCCCGTCGTCAGGTTCAGAACTACCCTCCGGGAAATCGAACAACCCGCCTAATATCACAAACTCGTTGCCCGTTTCGTGGTTATTACTGTTGCTAGCCTCGGGCACAAACTCGAATGAGTCGTAACCCGTCATCTCGTTCTCAAAGGCCATCGTCTCGCCGAATCCGAACCCCGCCGGCGGTAACTCGGCGTCGGCGACCTTGCCGTCGTCCTCCGCGGAGGAACCGAAGCTCGGAGGCAGGCCGAGCTCGTCGTCGGAAGCTTCCAGCAGGTAACCGAGCTCCGACCGGGTCTCGGCCGCTTCCAAGCACAGATCCAGAACCGACTGCACCTGAGGGACGAGTATCTCCTCCTCGAAGCTTCTGATGACGGAATCGAGGCCTTGGATGGCCGGATCCCGGTCCGTGACGCCCTCGGAGTCGTCGAGTATGTTGAGCAGGTCGTCCTGTATCCGCTTCGCCTCCGGCGAGCACAGATCCGAGTCGGCCGATTCGGGGCTCGGCTCGGAGCCGGCCCGGACCCGCTTCGACTCGGGCGAGCCGAGGTCCGAGCAGGCCGAGTCGACCCGAGTGAGGTTCGACTCGGGCGAGTCGACGGCCGAGTCATCCCGCGCTCGCTTCTTGTCGTTCTTCTCTTCCATTGTCAGGGAGAGGCAGAGAAACAGGCAAAAGGGAAAAACGTCTTCCGCTTTCAAATAACACCACAGTCGCGAGGCTAAGGAATGTCAACCCGCGCACAGAGAGAGAGAGAGAGAGAGAGAGAGATGATGACGTATAGGTTGAAGTGGGGATGGTTGGGGAAAAGTGGGAGGCTATATAGTGGGTCGGTTCAATTTTCTCGAGAAAATGAAAAAGAAAATCGGCCGAGAAAGGTAGTTGGCCGTGTGGGGGAGAGAGAGAGAGAGAGAGAAGGGAAGGGAGATATGGCTTCTGAGATGTTTTAGAGAGAGAGAGAGAGAGAGTCGCTGATGTCTGTTGCAATGGGGGCAAAGTGGGGGCGACTGGGATTTATAGTTTCGAAGAGAGGGAGAGAGAGAGAGAGAGAGCGGGGAAGATTTGGTAGAGAGAGAGAGAGAGAGAAAAGGGCTGGGTGTGGACGGGAGGGGGGAAAGTGTGTTTGGAGGGGTTTATATAGGAAGCGCCCGATTATCGTCGGCGATGATGATGCCCCCCCTCGCCTCCCTTCCCTCCCATCCATGAACAAACGAAGAAGACGAACAAATATTATTTCTTTCTTTTTTTTTAATTTTCGTATATATGTAAGAGAGAGAGACACAGAGACAGAGACAGAGAGAGGGGGAAGGTGATGGGGGTTTGTGGACACGCGCGCGTGGAGCGCATAGAAAAGCGACCCCCCTCGTCACGTACAACGTTGAACGTACACCTCTCCCTCTCTCTCTCTCTCTCTTCGCCTCTCTTTTTTGCTTTATTTTCTTTTCCTGGCGGATTAAACAACGTTTAAGTTCCGCCTTTGAAGTCCGGGGCGTGGGCCCCCCCAACACCCCGGAAACATCTCGCCCGCCCGCCGGTCAATTTCGATTCCTGCGGTTATAGCGTCACCGGCTTCGGTGGAGCGGTATTGACGCTGTGTTTTCGGGGCACGCGACAGGGGTGTGTGTGTGTGTTGTCTTGTAAGCATTCCCGGACGACGGATACGGATCGTTTTTCTCGTCATTTCGATCGATTAGGCTTTCAACTTTTTTCCCGGATTTTATAATACAATCATATAAATCGAGTCGTTGTGACGAGTTATGGTGAATTATGACGTGTCCCCTGAGCGTTTTTCTCTGTGCGAGAGAAACATTCCTCACCAAATCTAGCGGCTCTGCCCCCCCGCCTCCCTCCCTCCCTCCCGCCCACCCCAAAAGAACGAGTCATTTTCGTGAGGTTTGGTGAAGCATTAGCCGCAAAACGGGTCGTGCTTATCGTTTTAAAAAGGCGCAAAACTCCTCCTTTTGGATCGACCGGATAAGCATGACGCGTGGATCCACGGGGGGGGGCGAGCTTCTCAATGCGGAAAAACCGAAACACGAGGGTCGTCCCGCCCCCGCCCCCCCTAGTTTTTTTATTTTTTTTAATCTGCGTGTTTTTGGGGGTGTGCCATGCCGTTCTAGATTTTTGGCGTCATGCAAGGAATCACGTGGATATCTCGCTTGTATCCCTTGGTTAACTTGCCAAAAACCATTTGTTTCGTACAAATGAAGCCCGTGTGTTTTGTCGATCTGAAAAATCCAATCGGCATTAGCCAATGGCCACCATGCCAGCTGCATCTCGATTGAGAGGGGTATCGGTGGCGGCGACGTCGGCGACACACGGGGGATGTGTGGTGGATGGGAGATAGGGTGTCTGTGGTTAATAGAAAGTTTGGGTTTGCGGGATAGTTTGGGGGCTTGAGATATCCGAGGGGACAATTTGACCTTTTCGCTGTATTGATTTTATCTAAAGATATCAAATTGGTACTTTGAAAAGGATTGGACTGTGTTAATTTGCGTTCCAAGGGCAGTCATTCAACGCTTTGATAAAATGAGTTTGTCATTTCTAATTTATTATTTTTCTCGTAGTACTTTGAAAACATATTCTTTTTAAACATAATTAACACGCAACTCGGAGCATTTCGTTATAAGATCCTTTGTGATACTTAAGAAATGTACAAATAGTTTTTTTATTGAAAAAATAAAGTATATTTATTAATATTTTTTCCAATATGAAACAAGCTCAACACAATCTTCCCTCTCGAGTTTTCGATGCATACAGGGACCGAGAAATATTTTGGTGGGGAACACGATAGATTAAAGAAAAAAATGATTAGGATCTTGTTCTCTCGTAAACAATTATTGATCTCGAACATTGTGTCGTTTTGTTGGAGAACTCAAAGTGCGCTCTTACGCTTTCCTTAATTGTATTTGTCTTTTAAATTTTGCAACCTTTTGAAAATCTCTGCAATAGAAAAGTTTTTTCCAAAATCCAACGTAGATCGCCAAAATATCAATATAGAAAACACATATCCCGATCTCCTTGATCCGACGGTATCATTAGATGTGGCGCGTGATTTTAATTATGCGATACAAGTTTGATTCGTCCTTCCATTAACATAATATTCGCGTTCGGGGTAGAAGCTCAAACTGTAAATGGCAATCAACCCAAATATCATTTCGCGAGCCAGAGACATTGTTATTGAGGGAAGGGGAAAACCCAGACCAGAATCATCGATACCTTGTTTGGTACGGTAAGTTTCGCGGTAGATAGAAATTGAGCGCCACGTCATTTGCTGGCCAAAAACAAAAAAAAAAAAGATTAACCAATGAATCATTTTCTTTAAAATTTAATGCAGGCGGGTCCCACTCAGTTCTTCCCCGCAGGGGCGGTGGGGTCCAGCGAAGATGCCTTGGTACCACTGCCGCCCCTCCCTCCCCTTCAATCTCGATCAAAAGAAAATGCCTCGACCCGTTCCAGACGCTTCAGCGGGGAAATAATCAAGTCCTCAAAAAGCGGTGCTCAATTAATTGAAATTTAGCGCCCCCCCCCCTTGCGTGTGACCATCCCCCGTTCGGACCGTTCGTTACAAATCGACGGCCGAGATCGCGCTGGGCAAATCCCAATCACAAAGAGCCGGGGACAGAGAAGGAACCCCCGGCTTTTTTTTTTTACTTTTTTGAATTTGATTAATTATGGCGCACGACAAGTGGGCCGCATCCCAGATCTGGAGCCACGTGCCACGCGAGTTCAACGCGGCGAGACGCATCCCCGGAGCCGAGCCGAGCCGAGCCGCGAGCTGGAACCGGCGCCGGCGCGCCGATGGGGGTGGGTTGGGTTGGGGTGGGGTGGGGTGGGGGAGAGCGGCTTCACCGGTTCCGAGACAGCGAGGGAGGCCCCTCTTGCTTTTAACCGGGGTGGGGGGGGGGGGTTGGGTCAGGGGTGGTGGCGACCCATGCACGGAGCCACGTGACTTGCTGGCCACGGCACGCGTCGCTGTCTCTCTCTCCACGCGAGCCGCTCCGCCGGACCGGTCCACCCACGGTACCGACTCTCCGGAAATCGCACCGGCGCGTTAACTCTAACCAGCGTTAAACATGTTCATTAAATGATCCGATATCCAAAAAAATCTCAAATTGATACGCTGTGATAAATATAACTGAAATTAAATTTTTAATCATAAAAAATTTTAAATTGATAAATTTATGCTCTTCATTAATTTTTTTAAAATTTTATAATTGAATTACTGAGTTAAATGACATGCTGTAATTAATGAGTGTATAGCTTGGGCTTTTACCCTTCGTTTATCACAGGTGTATCGGTTTATAGTTTTTTGTGATATTAATCCAATTTAACGGAAATTAATAGAGGGTAAATTTATCGTAAATGTATTGATTTGAGATTTTTTATGATCAAGAAATTGGTTTGGGAATAAATTTGTTACGCTAGTTTAGGTCTTTTTGTGATAAAAAAAATTAGCTTCGATTCGGGATTTTTTTATGATATTAACCTTAATTTAATTATCCGGGAAAAGAAAATATTGCTCGATTTTTTTTAAAAACGATCGACTGCTATGGCGCGCGCGCGTGGTCTGGTCGTGGGTGGATTTACTACTGATAAAGAAAAATGAGGACCTACCGGAAACGCTTTGAACAAAGGGGGATCGGCCCTGCTCCTCCGGTGGTACCTTCCCGAGACCGGTTCCACCGGTAAACAGGTCTTCTCGAAGGTGGCTCGGGGTTTGGGACGGCACACGTGGGAGGGAGAGGTGGCACGTGGGAGGTTGGAGGCCTCGTGCAGGACGTGACGGTGTTGTTATTGTGATCGCAAGCGTTGTCAGTTGAGTAATAAGCGAAAAAATCCATCACGAACAAAATGCCCTCCTTTTCATTTTCATTCTTATTTTTTCTTCTTTCCGCCTTTTGCTTTTTCCTTTTATTTTTTTTTTGTGTCGTGAGGTTCACGACGTTTTTCGGACATCGGGCCAGATATTTTAGCGGCGAAATTACGGGGCTACCCCTATTGATTGATTGATTGATTGATTGAACGCGGGGTGCCCACGGGAAAAGGCGGTAGATATCAACTCCGAAAGGGGGACTAAAATACGGGAAGTCGAGACAGCGACGGTGACGTGTCAGTGTCCCCAGCAATAGCAATGGCTCTTCTTGGAAAATTTCTCCACCGGGGGGTGGGGGACCCGTATTTTAAATTTGAAATTTCGGTTTTTTATTTTTTTTTTAAATAAGTGATCCAGGGTTCTTCCGATCGTGATCGCTGTCCAGATTGTTAATCGGATCTCTGATCCATGTGGAATTTCGTGCAAATCAAAAAACTTGTTGTGACTGGTTTCGTCCACGCGAACTCCGGTTCATTTTGACCAGAACAAAAAAAAAAAAAAGAAAGAATTCCGGTTTTGAAATCTGTGAATTTCCTCGACCCGTCGATTCAGTAAGTGAACCCCGAGACATTCTTTAATGGAATTATTTTTCATATTGCAATTGAATATAACTCGGCTTTGATTAATTAACGGATCGGTTAATCTTGTCACTCGATCGGCTGAGTGAATCGATAACACAGAGATCGATACCGTCTAGTTGTTGAGATATCCATCTCGATCTTGACTCGGGCCTTTCCCTTATGAATCCATTATGTACAGAGCGGTGGCGAGTTGTATACGCCGGTAATTCGTTCCAAACATTACTGACATGACTATCTTGTTATTCGAAACCGGAGATGCATCATAATTAGAAATTGCTTTGGAGTAAATATACCGAAGAGTTTGATACGTCTTTTCCGGGGATTGAATAACGGCAAAGTGTTTATGATGACTTATTCTTAATTAGGGTTTCGTGTCGTATATTTATAAAAGTAATTTATTATAATCAAAATACACACAAAAACATAATTATTGGAAGACTGTAATAAACACAAAGTTACATATCAATAAATAACTGCTGCTTCTTCTTCTTCTTCTCTTCTTTCCTTTTTTTTTCTTTAGATACCGTTAGAAAATCAAACTCAAAAATTTAAATTGATAAGTAGAAAGAGATCGTGTGAATATAAAGAGCATATAAAATTCGCTGTCAAGCG